TTATGTCGTACGTTGACTTATGTCTACACGCCTAGGTTACAGAATACAACTTATTCGTATAAATGGCATGTTAGATGTCATTGTATACATGTAATTTATGAGTCTTGCATTATGCTAATCATCTATACCGCTGTCCCCACTATGATCATTGATTATTATTTTAACTATTTGTTGCGCGTTGAAAAAAAGATTTTGGTGTAAAATAAAAATAAAATAATATATTATTGCATTTTGAACGTCTTAAACGTGAAATATTCACAATATAATATATATATATATATATATATATATATATATATATATAATAAATATACTGTGAGAGTAGCTGTTAATGTTTGGTCAAAACAAGAACAGTGTACTACGAATAAGTGTACATGAATATTGTGAAGACCTTATAGTCAAACGTAGGCAATGGTGTCCTGAGATGGTCGAGCTCTAAGAAAACAAGTTCAGAACAGCAGAAAATCCAATCTTCGAATTCGGAATCGGCTTTTGGGGTTCCTAAGTAATCTAAAATTATTATCTTTCTGTTTTTTTCAAAACTAAATAACATCTAAGTTTCAAATAAAAGCTAACCTGGAACTTTTCTTTACTTTTTACTAAAACTGCTAGAATAACTAAAAGTATTTTTTTTATAAAGTTGTGTCTACAATATTTTGATTTTTGTATATTGTTTAAGTTGTTTTATGATATATTACACATTAAAGCATTTATAAAATATGTTTAAAGATTAAAATAAAATATTAATCAAAATTGATATACAAATCCATAAAGTGCATATATCTGCAAAACCAAAGAGTTAACCTTGAGAGAATCTGTTAAAACAATCAGAAATAGAAAATACACATAGAACCCTTCCTATTCACTACAGTTGTGGCTCTAATTTGAGAATTATCTTTATTTTTTTGAATAGTATGTATTTTTTACAGAGGTTGAAAATTTTGCAAACGATTCGTTCCAGGAAAAATATTTTATACCGTTCCAAAAGTCATAACTGTACTTCGAAATGCTTTTAAATTCATTTTTTTCTTTTGACAAGTTGAAAGTCAGTTAAGCTAACAGAACATCTATATCATACTATTGTCATTTTAAACCACGTTTGTCATAGTTATAATAAATAGTGTAAATTTTCGTTTGCACAAAAACGTTTTCCATCCAGATTCACTGCTCTTCATCGAAGCTAAAAAAGAGATAATAATAAATAAATAGTATAATAATGTAATTTTCAAAATATTTCAACTAGAACAAATGTGTATACTTGGTTTAATCAAAGAGATTTTGAAAATGGTGTTATCAACTTCATTCACAAAATCTAACCATATCGGTCATCGAATTTAGTGATTTTCTTTGCTAATCAGGCTATCACTTAAAGCGTTGTCTTCAAGTTTATGAGTGTGGTTTATTTAATTAAGTTGATTGGATTGGACGGTTTCTTGTATAATGTTATGAGGGTGCCGTCTGATCATTTGGTGTCTTTACTCCGCGCCGGGCCACACCATACGGCTCTGATTGACGGCCTGCGCGCCCGTAGTAGTCGTTACGTTGCGCCCTTGTATGCGGGCCAACAGTCGCCAGCGCACCAGGCACTATTGTTGTTGGGCCCGCGGTTTGGCGTCGACCGCGCGTTCGCGTGAAATCCGATCCGGCGCCATTCACGTGTCTACCTCTTGTCTCCGCCGCGCCGGTTAACCGGTAAGCCGGTGTCCACATCAACATAGAGAATCTGCCAAGTTGGCCATTTCGATGATTATGATTATTATTGTATACTTTTATTAATTTTTAACACCTGCCGACGACGTTTATCCCTTTATGCAGAATTATCATTTTTTTAACTATACTAATATATTACTTATCTGTATAGTTATCGTATATCTGTATAATGTATACAGGCTTATGCAAATTTGATTTCACAGTCAATTTTTCTTCAAAAAAATATGAATTAGACAAAATTTCGGTTACTTAGGATAGTCCGATTTCAATTCTGCAAATTCTGTACTAGTTCTTTGGTAGTTTTACTAAGTTATGAAAAAAACAGATTTTTCGCTTTTTTATGTAAAAATATCGGATTTTAATATTAAAAAAAATGCAAATTTAATTAATTTAATTAAAAGAAACTGATATTTTTAAATGAAAATCGGCTTCCTACATAACATAGTAAAGTAGACAAAGAACTTGAATCTCTTTAGAAAATTGAAATTTGACCATCTCATGTAGTCGACATTTTGTCTGGCTTTTTGGTCTAAAATAAAACAAAATGGCTTTTACTCATAGAAAAAATTATTTAAATTAAAAATAATACCTTGAAGTTTATACAAATTAACCGGCAAATTAATTTAAATGGTCAAAATTCATTAAAACCTCTTTTTTTCTTAAATTTTGCCTATACAAAACTCCCTAATACCAGACCGCATGCAATCCCCTTAAGGGCTAGTTTTACATTGAAAGTTTCGGGAGGAAGTTAGTACACGAGTGAGTAGTGACTACAGCTATTAACAAGTAATAACAGTATACAGCAGTCTACCTCACTCCCAGCCTATATCTTTAAACTCTAATAACTCAACTCTCAAGTAGTATTTAAAACTGGTTAATTATTATTATTTCCATTATATCATTCTGATTTTATTAGGCAATAAATTTATGTGCATCGCTATTTGATTACTAAAAGTTACCCCCGAAAACTACTGTTTAAGATAATATTTTCAACTTGAAAATTCCAAATTAATTTTTATCAATTAGTATAACAACGATTTTATGAGAAACTTGTTTAGCTAAAACCGTTATTTCATTAAAACAATGTACCAAGAGTACTTAGGTAATAACCCTGTAAGAAAATATAAAAGGAAACCCAAGGGCGAACATAATATAGCTGATATTAATAAACAATAGGCAATGAGAATGATAATTTTTTTTTTGTTTTATATGGGAATAATTTGTGAAAAATATATACAAAAAAAATAACTAAATAAAATCGATGAAATTTTACGGATTTTTTATACTTATTTTTATTAGTATACAAAAAGTAACAACGATGTACTTGTCAAAATTGAAATTTCTAACAAAAGTCTAGCAATCAGTGACTCGTGACGGAAGAGAGCAAAAAAATAGGGTGTCTCTCAGCTTGTATGGGATATTCAAGTAATTTAATCCATTATTATATGAAGAAAAAAACCTATAAATTATGATTAGTGTACTAAAAAAAAAATAACTATGTAATACGACCCTAATCGTCTTAAAAGTTAAAATATCAAAACAGTAGTTTTTTTTTCTTCTTTCTATTATACGTCTAATATTTAATATTTTTTTAACGTGTATTGAATAACATGCCGTACTCAGTCATCCAAGACGGGTAATCAACTTTGCCGCCGCGCCGTGAAAAAATAAAGAATAGTCTGACAGGTTGGCGCCATATAAATGTATATTGTTTTATGAACAGTTATATTTTATCTTTGTCGTTTTACAGTCTCGACAAATGCCAGTACCCGCCCATTTTTTATTTTTGATCCTTGCCCAGTCAAAGGGGCTACATTATATTCTATGGGGATTTAACGCGTTCTAATTTCAAAGGACCACAAATTCAATTTTATCTTAAAATGATCATAATGTATTGTAGAATATTACAATTATTTATGTTGCCCCATACAGGACATACTTATTACGTTAAGGGTGATTGATGAGCACTAAGATTTAATTATGTTGCATATAAACCAAACGATTTTTGTCCTGTTTAAAAAAAAAAACGTCTTATTCGGCTACCTACGTCCTACTGATCACAAGACTACTAAGAATTCTGTACTTCACTAGGTATAATGTTCAAAATTTGATATTTTTTATAATGTATCTGTTTTGACATTAAAATCCAAATGTAATTTACTCTAATTTAGCAAGTTACCTTACTTATAACATATTATAATTTTCTCAACAAATCTGAAGTAAAACTTTTTTTTATTAAAAAAGAGATAATTATACATTGACCTCGGTAAAATCTAGGTTGCTAGATGAGTCTCAACAGTTAACAGGTATCTGCAAAATATTTTCTTATGTTGTTGTTTTGCCTATTGGTAATAACATCAACAAATTATTAGGAACAGCAAACAATCAACCATAATTGTATCCTCCCTAATACTAAAAGCACAATTTTAAACACATAATTGCTTTTGCCGATATTAAATATTTCTACCATCCACACCCACTCACAGTGCTGTGGGAATCGCAGCCAGTACCACTAATATCAAGTTTGAGGCCTTATACAAGAATAAACTTCTCAGATTTACCTTAAAATAAGTATAAAAAAATACTATTCTTTCTTTAGAACATATTATGATCATAATTTAAAAATAATAAACTACAAATACTCATCAAATTGGTGGCATGACAACTCGCATCACAATCAGTCACAAAACAAAAAAACAAGTCACACCGGTTTAGATTAAAATAATTAAAGTATAATATGTTATGCTTATTCTATGATCTTAGGGTTGTTAAAATTTACTTCAGTTTTAAGCTAAACCTTTGCCAACGGCACTATGAGGTCGGTTTTTAGTTTTAAGTTAGTTGATTTACTTTTATTAATTTAAAATCACAATGTAAACGTTGATTAATTTAAATTACATTTAATAAACAATTAAGATAGCTTTCCAGGGAAGGGGATTTACATTCCTGCCATGTTCCTATTCGACAAAATGTCCTCCTTCAACATAAAAATTAATTTTACACTTTTCATACATCAAAATACAATAACAGTAGATTATCTGTAAGTAAAATGTTTAAATGTTCATCAAACATTAAACATGTCATAGATAACGATAATTTATTAAAAAAATATTTAAACTGTTATAAAATACCTAACCTAAACACCAGAAACAGTCTACCGTTATTTGTTAGTTCATGTGTTAATAGTGAGAAATTGTCATGCAACCAACATTCTATAATAAATTAATGGAGCATCAAAAGTATGAAATGGTGAAATCCTTCGAAGGTTCTTAATAGTACATAGAAAAGTATTCTGATAATAATTATAATTTAATTTCAATGTTCTATTAAACTATTTTGTATAAATAAAAAAACGATATTCTTTAACCACAAAATCCAAGACAAAAAATTATGTTATATTGGAAATAATGAAAATAATTATAATTAGTCTTAATACAAAACGAAAAAAAAAAAAATAAAGTATATATTAAAATGTTTAAGCATCCACTTCCATGATAGTTTCTTCTGTGACATCAAACTTAATTTCATTTCTGCATAAGACTTTTGTTAAACCGGCTGGATATTTATATGTAGCTCTAAAACAGTGAACAATAAAATAAATTTTCAAAATTATAATAAGGTCATTCAGTGTGATTCATTATAAAACCTGTTATCATGTCATTTACTTTTATATTTATGTTACCATTTATAGTTATTTTATTTGTAGTTATTTACATATCACTGTACTTGAACCTTTTAAGGCACTAATTTATTAAATAAAGAAATAAATTTGAAATCAATAGACATTTAAAAATAGTCCAGAAGAGTCCAAATGTTGGGACAACAAATATGTTAACGGGCCTGTAAAATTTCTTATTTTTGGTCGAATACAACTTATTTTAACTTTAACTGTACTCTAAAACACATAATCTCTTATTAGTTTTGAAATCAAATATTAGTTTATCAATACTCGCCTAATAAACATTGATCAAACTACATTTAAACATTTTATTTTTAGCATTACTGTAAAAATGACTAAAAAACTTCAAATAAAAATAATTAGTAAACAAGAAATAATTTAAAAAATGAGCCACCAAGTTCAAATAATAATTGTAGGTGAATTATTATTTTAATAAATTTGTGTTTATTTTTATTAAAAAGTATTTAATTTTGTTTTTTAATACTTAAGTATTTTGTCAACCCAAATTTAAACACTATTATTAAATAGGCCATATTTAAGAGTATCATAATGAATTCTCCTAAAGAAAATTTTTAGAATAAAGAGAAAGCGATAGTTTGTAGTATTATAATACTATTTGTAATGATTTGTAAATACAAAAGAATAGAACAAATTAATTGTGTCATGTTAACATACCTAAGTAAAATCAAAGTTTTATAATTTTATATTTATATTTATTTCTTAGTTATCAGCAAACATGTGAAGATAACTTAACTGTAATTTTTTAATTACAATAAGAATAAAGATATTATTCTATGTAATGTAATACAGTCAAAACGGATTAAATTTGTATTTTTTAGTACAAAATAAACATCGAACACTTCAATTGTAAATGTAAGAAATACTTTGTTAGATGCTAAAAGTTGATAAATCACCGTTGATCAACGCCCTTCTCGACATATATTATATTAACCAAGTTATATTTTTAGTTCAGTTTTAAATTTCTGGTATCATACGAATTATTGAAAAAAGTAACGAAAAATCACTTACGTTTCTGGTTTTTTGTTGGGAGTCAAATAGTTTCTTAACATACGTGTTCCGTCTTTCTTGATAACACATAAATCTACATTGCTTCCTGAACCAAGATCATTAAATATACCAGCTAGTATAGCATCACAGGCAAGTTTCATTCCTTCCTCTTCCTGTAAAAAATATTGTTCCGTTAGGTTAAAATATATAATATGTCGTTTTTTTAAAATACTTAAAAATGTATTACAGTTAGGTTTTCATTCCAATAGCTTTCTAACATTGATATAGCTGCCATACTTCCAGAACCCATGGATATATAAGGCAGTTTGTCAATTGATCCATGAGGATAAATGGAATATAAATGTGATCCTTTGTTATCAACACCGCCCAAAATTAAAGCAGCTGACACGTAACCCTAAATCATAATATACATTTTTAATACCAATATTGACCATTTAATAACAACAACTATACAATTCATATTAATATGTACGTACCATATATTTAAAAAGGTATTGACGTAGAGACCTAGCAGCAAATACTACTGGTACCATTTCATCGGGAAATTTGAACGCTTGCAAAGAAACATTTGCAGATACCATGCGTGTAACTTGCATAGTATCAGCCGCTGTCCCAGCACCACAGCAACTGTAAATAAGTTGTATTATTTACCTGTTTGTATCATAAAAATGTAGGATTATAAATTCAGAACTTACTGCATGTACTTGCCGATATAATGTATTTTTTCACAATTTTTTTCCATGACAATTGTATCGGAAGTTGCACGAGTATCAGCAGCTAAAATTACACAGTCACGAGTAGTAACCCCAACAATTGTAGTTCCAGTTTTTCTAAATGAAGGCATTTTAAGTCCCATTTTTTCCAACTTAGCATTTCTAAAACATAAAACAGCTTATCAACTCATTTTCTAACTTACATTGCTAATAAAAAATTTAAATAATTGGTGGATAATTAAAATATTAAATTTCTATACAGAATATTTAACTTATGTAGATGTTAAATGTTGAATAAAAATAACAAACCTTTCCAGATTTCGAAAAGAAAAGGCACCATCATCTTGCATAGATTTATAGTTGAGAGCCATATTTAAATTGAATTGTAATATTTATATAAAAATATACCTAGCCAGAATACAAAATATATAAGGATAAAAAATAATTTAGGACTTTATCTTTTTACAATTTATAACGAAACAATACAAATACAAAACGAAAATCATCGTATTCCGACAAAGTTTAAGGTTATTTAAAAATTGCTTTATCATTACCAAAGAGATTATAGCAATGTTTACAAACCTTTTTGGCGTTTTATTATCATCGAAGTAAGATAACGATTGTAGATAAGAGTAGTAAGCAGTAAGCACCCAAAAATTTGCTTCAGCACAATATAAAATATAAATAATGGCATTATGTATAATTTATAAATTCTTCTTTCAAAATTGTCTTTATATATATTGTGTATATTTATTTATAAATGAGATCCAAAAATACCTAAAAAAATATAAACGCTTTCTTGCTTTTAATAATACACTTTTTGACATAAAAGCAGTAAATTTTCATTAGCCTTTTAAAATTTTTTTTTTAAATACATGTATTTTTTTACGCTGAAAATGATAGTGAAGTCAGAATTTGGTGGTCGGACTTATTTTATAAGCAAAAATTGTATATACTTTACATTATTTAAAAAATGCAATAACTTCGTAAATATAAAACCCTTTTTTGAAATTTTTTTTACTTCAAAATTATTTTTTACACAAAAGAATAGCCAAAACACAAATTGAATATCATACTTACTTTTTAAGCTATATGGAAAAACTTCATTTTAACGTTTTTTTTATATTAAATGCCATAACTTTTCAAAAATTATTATTTAAAAAAAAAAAAAATACATATTATATTCCAAAATAAAATATTGAGAGCACAAACTTATTACATAGTCGCACATTTCGTGTTTATGTATTAAAACCTCTGCAGACTTAAAGTGCATTTGTTCCAATTTTTTACAATCCTGATTTTGTCTGGTGAATAAAGATACAATTTTACAGTATCTGCCCAATTGTAAATAACACTGAATTTTTTTTATAAATAATGTATTATTAAATTAACAGTAAATTTATCTTAATAACTAACTTGGTACTAGATCTTATAAATGTAATTAGTTTTGATTTTGTTATTGTATTAACAATTCACTTAAGGATGTTTGCACATGAATTTATTAGCTTATAAAATAGTTACAAAGCCAGAAAACAATGTTCATCAGTATCTGTGTTGTATATATTATTTATTTATTATGTTTATAGATCAATATTCAAATGAAAACCATTTCAAAGAACATAATATAGGTAGTCTGAACTGTAATTGAGACTTAGGTAATCGACCAAGTTCAGGACTCTGGCAAAAAAACTGGTCATCTTGGTTGTAAAATTAAACCACTACTACCAATAAATATCACATGAGAAAAATTACAAAACCGGAACTAAATGCAAGTGGTTTATTTTTAGTAAGATTTAGCATATGGTTTTTACTTGACTTAATAGCTGTTATAACATAATATTTCAAATAAACAACTATATTTTGAAAACATAAGTTTATTTATAAATTTACAAGTACTAACATCTAAAAAAAATTGTGTAACATTGTATTACCAAATCCTAAGAATTCATTTGAGTCTTTTTTACAACATGAGGCAAGTCGTATTTTCCTCTCACACATGTTACTTTCACACCGGGCAAGTCCTTACACCGACCATTACGTACTAACACCACATTATGTTCTTGAAGATTATGCCCTTCACCAGGTATATATGCAATCATTTCCTTGCCATTACTTAGTCTAACCAAAACACATTTACGGTTTGCTGAATTTGGTTTTTTTGGTTTTCTTATTAGAGTTTTTAGAACGACTCCTTTCAAAAATGGATTATCGCCCAACGGATTTCTCTTAAACATTGGTTTTTTGTGGGGACCAGTCTTGTGCATTTGATTTAGACTAGCCATAAATCGTGGCGTGTCTGTCCCTAGAAAGAAACGATTGTTAATGTAGATTAGGTGTTTTTAACATATCATGATTTCACTTACTTGCAGTATGGATCGCTAAATTTCTCAAACCTTGTAATAAGGCGTTCATTTTAACGTTAGAACAAATAAAATTTCTCAAGATATGTAATTGATAAGTTCAGTAGCCTGTGTTAAACATTTGCAGTATGAAGATGTCTTTAAAGTTCAATCTGTAAATTTCTTTATAATCTGTATCCGGCAAGTAAAAATTACAAATGATAAAAAATCTCTATCAGTCAAGTCTTATCAACAGTCAACACTGTGCTCCGTAAAAAAAAAACAGATACAGTGCTGCTTACTGTCATATTAATAGTTATTGTAACATACATTCAATTACAAATTATGTAAATTGGACATATGTAAAATTTAACATAATTATTTTAATAAAACAAATTAAGCCTAGTAGGTATAAATTAAAAGTTTCCAAAAGGGTACAAGTGACAATTTTGTAATGACATTCATTGTTACTATACTGTCATACTTTGAACAAAACTAAAAACAAAAAAAGATTAGTACGACCGTAGTTTTTCGACATAGTTATTCAGAGTCCAGAGGGGAAAAATAAACTGAGATGGCAATTTTTTAGCTGAAAAGTAGACTCATATTATGAGCGTATAAAGGATATTATTTCATTAACACTTAATTTAGAAATCATTGCAGAGATTATATCATTTTCTAATTAATTATATAGGAAACAAACAGTTTCTTTAAATTTTCCGAAAGTTGGGTAGGTATATTATTCACTTAGCTGTTCAATTATAGTGTCCTTAAGACATGTTATCATATTTTATCTTATTCAGCATAAAAAAATGAATTAGGGTACGTCTTAATACCTATAAAATAATACTCGAAATTGGTTGCGCGGTCTTTACGAAAACAATATTAGTTTTATATTATTCGATTTTTTATTTTTGGTACACTAATAATATATTTACCGAAATCGGGTCATATAATATAATGCACCTCAAAGCGGTCGAGTATAATATAATATTATTACAGTCCAATATTTAATGATGTATAGAATATCATTCTTGGAAAAAATTATACAGCTACCGAGTGTATAATATATAGGTTATATGTTTGTGTGTGTAAAGTATAGGGAAAAATCGATGTCCGAACCCTGTGGAAAACCATGTAAAAACATATAAAGAGGAGTGTCCCCGGTAGTTGTAACTAGTACAAGCACGCGATGCATCTATTATAAATGAACGTAGCGAAGTTGGCGGCCGACAGAGCAGTGGCGACTAGCGGCAGCGGCGAAAGCGTGCATCCGTATATTATTTAACCGAGTGTTGGGGGGGCAGTTGCTCACTGGCCGAGTAGTACTGGTGTCCGTGCCGTGGACGGTAGGTCATGCGGTCATCATGGGATGTGGACATTCCGATAGCAAGTCGTCCGAGTCAAGGGACAATAGTTCGGTGGCGTCTTCGCCGGATAGGGACGCCGGCGGCGGGTACGTCGGACGTCGCCAAGCATGGACCAACAAAGGAGGATTCCCGGTGCACCGCATCACCAAAGTCATGCAGGTGGGTGGTAGTGATGGTAACTAGTATTTTTTTTTTTTTTTAAATAACGGACAGTTAGTCAAATTGTTCAATATGGATAACAGATATTATGTAGATACAATAGAGATATAAGCTATGTAACTAAAATATTTTTCTATACACAACTAATATAAGATAAACAATTATTAAATCAATATAATAATAATATATACGATAGGTATACATTTATCAATTAAAAAATTCTAAATTATTCATTTTATTTCCGACGGATAGTAAAACATTCACAGGTGAACATGCCATATAGTTTTGAGAATAATGAGGAATATAAAATAAGTCTTTATTTCTGATATTGTGGTTATTTATTTTAAATGAAATATTTAAAACAAATAATACTTTTGTAGACTCTTTACCAATCTAATCTAACGTATATTTTAAGCAAATTAATTTTTGTAGAACAAATAATAGAAATGAGTATAGATCAAATTTGAAAAGAAATGGTCAAATGTGATAAATATAAAGATATATAAGAGTGAATAAATAAATGTTAACGGATAGAGATTTGCAGAGAGCTGAGAGAGAGAGAGAAAGAAAGAACTTCACAGGGCTATCCATTTGTATTGAAAATAGCAAAGAAATGCCCTCTGGCTTCACAATAATTGTCAATTATTGACATCCTGGTACTAAGTATTAACACAAATGATAAATGTTTTAGTTTTACAAACCTTTAAGTTTTTATTTTAAATATTTAAGAAGAAAAAATACATAAGTTGTCCAATTCAAAAAGCAGCAGGATATTTGGCAAACATTGCAGTGTAAACGTTAACTGTAGAAAGCTGTACAATTTACGAGCTTCCTGCTGGTTGTCTTTAAAAAAAAAAAACTGTTTTGGTTCTTTTGGAAGTTTGCCAATGTCATGTTTTGAGCTTTACTAGAAAGAACTATATTTTCCCATGGTAGTTTAAAACTACCATGGAAAAAATATATTTTGTGGTTTAGGGTTAGAGTATTTTCTTACATCTTTACTATAAAAATTACAACATTAAACGCCTGTTTTCTTTAGAATATATATCAAGTATATTATTTGGGTCTATATTATTAGATATATCCCTTTCTATATTTAAAATGGCAAGAGAGGAAAACCTATCTTGACTCATAGTACATCTTATGTAAGTATTGATACGTCTCATCGTGGAAAACGATCTTTCACAAGATGCCGAAGAAATAGGTATAGTCAAAGCCAAGTTAATTTAAGCCAAATAATTTGTTGAAATATTTATAAGTTATATGTATATCATACTCATCCTAGACCTGATATCTTGTACTGCTATCGCAGATTAAATAAAACTAATCTATGTTGCTATTTACAATGAATAATATATTTTTTTTTATCAATGACAATAAATATTTTTTTTAAATATCGTAACAATAAACAATTTCTAATGTAAAATATTTTTTTAATTCAGAAAGCCTAAACAAATTTGGGGGGCTATTTCTCAGTCAGGGGAGCTAAGCCCCCCCTAAATACGCCCATGGTAGTTTTGTTCTGATCTATACACAATAGTCCACATTACTCAAGGTTTAAAGCCTCAAGCTTATCTAAATGAGAACATCAGTTTAATTAAAAACATTATTGTGAACACTAAAAATAATCTTTGTTTTACCAAGCTGTTACTTCCAAGTTCCAATCTATTTTCTGTAGTACAATTCCAGTTTTCACATTTATCACGTTTTCCTAAAAAATTGCCCTAGTCATAAATACCATTTTATTTAAAAATGATTTAAAAGACTTATCACATAATATTAGAGTACCGTGGCCAAACATTTTTTTTCGAGGGGGGCGGTGGGGAGGTTATTAGTTATTAAGGCCTAATATGTTTTTATAGATAGTCCGATTACAATACTTTTTTGTTTGTAGAAAACTTCTTACAGGGTGCGTTAAACTTGTATTAATATAAGTAAGTTACTCTTATCATACGTAATACGTAGGCAATATTCGATCGAGCCTGAAATATTTTAAGACATGAAAATTGGAATCCATTTAAAACGATTTTTCGATTTTTTTTTGTAGGTCGAACAAGTTGACGTTTGTGAAGAACAAAGCACTAATATTTTGACCAGCGCTATACAAGACGATTACAACTCTAAAGTAAAACAACTATTACCTAATATGTGTTTTTTCAAATTTCAATTATAATAAAAAGAACATGCCATAGTGTGTAAGTGTAATAATAAATAATGTCGAATTATAGGGTTTCCCAGAAGTACTGTCAATACATGGAAGTTGGATTTATGGCCTTAATGCTGGAGGTTCGAGAAATAATTTAGACATGTTTGAGACTAACCCTCAATATTTGCTCAAATTTTCTACAGGTATTTTTTATAAAGCATGCGTTATATATTTTTAACACAACCCTTAATTATTTGTCCATTATAACTATGCAAAATAATAAATTATCGAACGTACAAATTTCGTTATTAAATAAAATAATTAATATAAAGATGGCGATTGACACTGGATTCGAGTTTAGATTGGTTACTAGCTAAGAAAATGAATTACAAAATTGCTAACGCTAAAGACTCAACTACTATGTTAAGAGAATTGAAAGCGGTCGGTTTTTTGACGTTTTAGACCAAAATGTCTGACAAAATTTCGACTACATAAGATGGTTCGATTTAAATTCTGTAAAGAGATATACGAGTTCTTTGGATACTTTACTAAAACTGCTTTTTGAATTTTTGTGTAAACAAATTTTTTTAATATGGAAAAATGTACAAATTTAATTTATTTAGTTTTTTTTTTTTTTTTTTTAAAAATATATATATTTTCTTTATTTACAATTTATACAAAATATGTATAATCAGCAAGTCTGATGACAACGATACAATGACATAATGTGTGAATAGGAAGGCTCTCAGCAGTGTCACCTGACCAGAAAAAATGTATTTAATTACAAGAAATTTAATTGTTAAAATGAAATTCGGTTTCCTACATAACATAGTAAAGTAGCCAAAGTACTCAAATATTTTTAAAGAATTGAAATCAGACCATCTTAAGTAAGCGAAATTTTGTCAGGCGTTTAGGTTTAAAATATCGTTAAATGGCGTATACTCATTGAAAAAACTGTAAAAGTTTTTAAATTAGATGCCTCAATGATTGCCTATATAAAACTCCTTATAAGTTCAAATCCGTCCGCTTTCAATCCCCTTAAACATTGGACGATAACGATTATAACAATAAAAAAACTTGAATGATGTGCGGCAGTACTCACAATGGCACAGCCTTACTACAGTTTTAATAGAAATTCTACATTGAAAAAAAATGGCCAAAATATTTAGGTTTATCTAATTTTTTATCCTATTTAATTAATTTACACTTCAAAGTTAATGGAAATGATTTAGTTGAAGGTATTACTCAAGTAAATTACCTTAATTTATATATTTATTGGTTCATTAATAATGTAATAATATAATAGTTAACGTTTTTGATTATATGGAAAAATATCGACTACGGGACTAAAATACTTAAAAATCTACCACGAAATAGCGGTTTATCATTTGTTTTTTAACTTGAGACTTTTGAAGTGACTATTTTAATTTGTATTATATTTTCAGGATTAGTTGAAGAGAATTTATTCATAACAATTAAAATAGTATTGAAAGTTAAACGGCTCAACAAAAAATCGCCGTTATATGTTGCTTTTTTTTTGTACAAAGTAGGTATAATAAATAATATGTATGGTAAATACGATATCAAATATTATTAAATTATATTTTATTATAAAAATAAAATGATATACGCAGTTATTGTCAGTGTTCCTGTTATTTATGTTTAGAACGACTGCCACCAAAAAGAGACATTGGGCGCCGAATATTTCTTGTGTACCGAACCGGAAGGAAGTTCAGGATCATTCAAAGCAAAGCAAGTTATTTCAGAGACGTTTGTGGTTTCGACTTTGGCAAGCTACGTTATAGTTCCGGCGACATTTAGGCCATTCCAACAAGGCGAGTTCGTGATCAAAGTAATGGTTGACAGAAAACTAGGAGCAGAGCTTAAGAAATTAATACCATCCGAAAGGCCGTCAGTTGGTAACATTAATTTCTAGTACTTAAGTTCTATATGTCTTAGGTACCTACTGCCTACATCAATTATTTTTTTTTACTTGCAACATGTAAAGTTGTTAATAGTTGTTGTCGTTAATGTATATTTATTCGTTTGCATTTAATAAAAACTAAAATAATTATTGTTGATTATTTACATATATACCAACATTATTATTGCTAACTAAAAATGTCCAATCTATCTAGACTCCCGTCTTACCGGTATTTCAGTAATGATGCTTTCATAATATTTATCAGAACTTCAATTGTGCATTTAGTAATTTTTAATGTTTCTTAAATACTTGGTTTTGTCACCTGATTTAAAAAAAAAAATTGTTGAAACTTACTTGAGATACCAACCTGAAAATATACATTGCTCGACCTTATAGTTTTTTTCTTTATCGACCCTACTAACCGTGACAGTCATACTTTCTTTGACCATTTATTTTTATAACAAACCTAAAACTTATATAGGTATCTGTATCACATCCAAAAAATAAGCTACTATCAGTTATTAAATAAAATATTTATCGAAACCACTTTTTATCATATTAGGTACCTATGTCAAAAAATATCATTAAATATTTAATAAGTTAATATTTATGAAAATTTATGGGTGTAACTTACATTTTAATTTAAGTCTCAATCAAAATAACATTAATATTTTGAGACATTTTCTACTTTAAAACACTAGATACTGTTATTTTCCACTTTTTGACCGACAGAATTGAATATTCAACTTCGGCACACACAGTCAGACTTGAATGTCAATCATTTTATCTTGACTGATATGAAAAATTCAAACAAGTTTGAAATTCATTAGTCAAGAAAACTAATTATCAATTATTAACATTCATATCCATACATGGTCAGTGTAAGACTGATGGTGTAAATGGTGGCGATTGCCCCAATAAGTTGTCGAGGCCTTTATTAACAAATATAAAATAATCCTTAAATTTTATTAAGACATCATAAGTATATTGTTCTATTAATTAACATTAAAAGAAGCCTACACTATAATGCAATTGGTCCGTAGGTCCAAGGCTCTATCAATATAAACATATAAAAAGTGCTTTAATGTAAATCTGTAGTCACTTTCCCCATTTTGCTAACTTCTTCATGTACTTTTTAAATTTTAGAGTTAATTTCCAAGATAAAAGCAAATTTAGGTAAACTGATGCAGATCAGTACTGTTTTTTAAACATCAATATTGATAATTGCTGTTTCCTCTAAATGATTAGCAAATAATTAACATCCATCGTATAATTTTGTATAAATTATACAATATTAATTATTAAAACAAATTATATTAATTGTATCGTTAATTATTATTACCATGTTACAGTTCTATCGTGTATACATGGATTATGAAAACCTATAGTAAAGTTAAGTTATACTAATATGCCTTCTCTGGCAGGAGATTAAGTAACATACAAGAACATGAGTCTATTGGCATTCTATTCAAAATGATGAAAAAGCATAAATAACAATCACTTTGTGATTTACAGCCAGCCATTAGCTTATATAATTATAATTTACCATTTTACAGAGTATCTATAAAAAAAAAATAATTATTATTAATAATAACAACACAACAAAAATTGAAATACTTCATTTATATTATTGTTGTTTCAGTAATATAAATATATATATAAATGTATATATATTAGTGGACTTTACTGAGGTGTAATAGAAATATGTTTATAGCAAAATAATAAAAACTACCGATGATATTTGGTTGTCGACACACGCAATTGTCTATCTTAAGTGGGGAGGACCGTTGTCCCACTCCCCAAGTTTCCACCTCCACTACCAGGACCCAAAAGTAGCTGAAACAAATCAATAATAAATTATGTTATAATATCTTATAATATAAGAATTGTTTTAAATTTTTAAATTTAAAATTGTTTCAATTAAGGTTTTACAGAACGTGATGACTGGAATTGAACAGATCACAGCTCTTAACTACATTGTAAGTCTGTAGCAGGAAAGGGACATCCATTACTATACAAAATAAAATAATGGATAGGCCGAAGTAGTTTTATTTACCAGAATAAACATATAACTTTTGAGATTACAAATCCTTACAACGTTACACGGTTATATCCTTTGGTCGTATTCCTAACTGAGGAAATTGAAAATGTTATAGGAATATAAGGGCGTAACTCGGAAAAAATATTTTTTTTATATATAACAGCATTTGAAAGGAAAAAAAAATTGTACATTGGCTGGTATAATAATGATAATATTTCAGTGTGTTTTCATCCATGAAATGAGTGTAAGTAAATTTAATAAATTAAACGTTTTTTCTTCTAGTGTAAAATTTGGTATTTTAGAGTTACGCCCTTAGCTATCTATGCTGACAATATACATTTTCATTTTGTTAACATAATAATATTAAAAACTAACCAAAATATTATAAATCAAACATTCCTTGAACATATGTTACATTTTATAATAAATAAAAAAAGTTCAATTTCATCCTAAGGAGTAAAAGATATCTGCTACATGTTTGAGTAAATGTCATAAAAAATTAGTTTCTTACTTGTTTAGAGTGATTTTTTTGTGCTTCTTCAACTTGAATGCGTTCAGTTTCAAATAGAACAGGCATTAATAGTATAGCTGCAGTAGTAGAAATAAACCACGTTGAAGTACAAGCTAAAGAATATGCTCCTACAATAAAATAATGTACATTACAAAATAATAACGTAATGAATAATATTATGCAATAATTCTTACCACAGATGGTTGAACCAGTAGTTTTAAAGAATACATTGGTATAGTTTCTTAATGATTCAGGAAACATTTCTGTGAGTGCCCAAATACGTTCGGATAATGTTTCATCCTAAAACATATTGTCAATTAATGATAATATGGTTTACAACATACTGGAACTTGGAAGGCATTAGTAAAAGCAAAGCATGTTTTTACCTCTACATCGTCATCATCATCGAAATTTTCTGAAACTGGAGTGGTACCTTTATTACTATCAGTCATAGATTCCATACCGCTGTCTGTGTTCCAAAGCTGTAGTTTATCCGAATCAGATATATCTGGATTCTCCGTGGTGACCATTACTTGATCGATTACAATATTCTATAACCAATCATCTAGGGCAACAATTGTAAAGTTTAAAATGTTAAATAGTCAGACATTTACTATATTTTTTAAATATTTGATAATAACAAATAACGTGACTTCGATTCAATAAAAAATAGTCGGCACTCGGCACACATATGACATAAGCTACCCAGCCAGTAAGGTAAGCTATTTAACAATGGTTCATACTTCATGGTCATGATCCAACTCAGCGTCAGTAGTGATAATTGTTATCAAATAAAAATAATCAATGAGAAAACAGCTGTTATAAATTTGTTTTTATTCTCTTTGGCAACAATCTATTCCGTGGTTGGCTGTCTGTAATTTATAAAAACAATTCTTTATAAATTATTATAATTTATACTTGCAAGTTGCAGTCTAAAAACTAAATGTCCATTAGCCAATTAAAAGTATACTATGTAATTATTATAAAAATGATTGTGTCCCTTGTCATTTTAAAAACCAAAAATCAAGCCATCGATGTTCTAACTAAAGAGACGGTGAAACGAACGATTTATATTTATAAAATATGTTTATATTATTAATGAGTTTGTTGAAAATTATTTAAGTTGACGGGTCGTACTAATTAAACTTCAAATAGTTTAGACCAAAAACTCCTATTATAAAAGGAAAATTACTTATAGGAGACAATGAAATACGTTTTACAACAATAACAACAGTATCCAATTTTGAATAATAAAATAAATGCTCTTTTAGAATACTAAATATGTTAAAAACGGATACCTGTCATTCCTTCAAAAAATCGTCTACTTTCAATTTTGTAATAGGCTTTAAAATCAATAACCATTTTAAATTAAGTAAAACACATTATGTGTAGATATTAGCGTTTAGTCGAGGGAAATAGTAAGAAACATCAAGTACGCTGTAATAATCCAATAAATTTAATGTTTTACCAATATCGAATTCTTTCTGCTGTACTAATTTAAACAATTATTTTATTTCTTTAATAACGATTTGCAATTATTTTTAACACTTTCCTGACTTAAGCAATTTGCTAAATGGGAAAGTCACTTCACTTAATTACAAATGTGTTAAGGTAAATAATCCATCATGAATGTTGATTTGTACCTTTTTCACATTAATATGTACATTAGTAGCATACCTATAGGTCATAATTTCATCTATTTACAGTAACAGAAAATTAAGATATATTTTTAAAATTTTTGTAGTGTGATTTTGCTCCAACTCAAGCAAATTATGACATTTATCCAAATCGGGTATGGTTGTAAATGCTGTTCTTCACACGCTCTTTGTATTTTTTTCCATGTGACTAAGACATACATTTGATCGTAACTAGCTCTTTCAAAAACACTTTTAAGAAAGTTTGTAAGCTGTAGCGCAGACGATGAAGTTTTGATATTAGTATTAGAGGTATCAGGTTATATTTCCACACACTATGAAGCATCGAATCCTCTAACCTGGGGGAGGAGGAAGATGATAAAAATTAAAACACAATAGGATTTGTATATAAATACTTAAAGATGTTCTTAAAAAAAAATATATAGATTAATTAGGTAATTATATATAATTTTTTTCAAAACAAATGGAAAATGTTGGTCAAGTTGGTTTAAATTTAAAAATTATATCCATAATGCATTGCCATTAGGATAGAATAATACAGCATTTAAATTTAAAAATGTATATGTTGATTAATAAAATTATACATAAAGGAGGGATCACAGGTTTTAAATTAATTTAATTACAAATCTGCACAGATACGTTATATTACTTAAGATTACTTGAAATGAAAGTTTATTGATGATCACAATTCACAAATACATTAAACTAAACAATTTTATCATATATCTTATAAATTACGGTGACGAATATATATTAATTGATGCATCTTCTGAAACAGAAACCATTTTGTCACCCGTTGAATTATATTTAACACACCATACTTTGTCTTTATGTTCTTTTAAAGTATTTAAACAACTACGGTTAGCTACATCCCAAACTTTAACTGTATTGTCTGCACTGCCTGAAACAAAACTTTTACAATCTGGCGAGAAATCTACACTTAACACCCATGAACCGTGACCAGAGACAGTAGCTAGTACTTCAGCATGATGAACAGCATAAATTTTCATTTGACCATCATCAGCTCCCGTCAATAGGAATTTTGAATCCGATGAAAAACATAAAGATCGGATAGGCATAGCATGTCCTTCAAGTGTGTGGGTAAGCTTACCTGATATTACATCAAAAACATTTATAATACCATCAAGAGCTCCACATGCAATATATTTTCCATCAGGACTATATGCTATACTTAATGTAAATTTTCCTATAATGAAAAAAATAATTAATAATAATTAACTAAGAAAATAGCTATAATCTCCATCTTTATTAGATGTGATATTACCTCTAGTATCAAACGTTTGTTCTTGTTTTCCTGTTTCAACTCCAAATAAATTAATTTTACCAGAGTGGCTACCCGAAATAATATAATTATCATCAGGTGAAAATGCAATTGTCCATAATTCAACTGGTCCAATAGAAAATGTTTTGATTTTCTCTCCATTTGATGTTTTCCATAGCACAAGAGTAGCATCTAAAGCACTGGAAGCAATTATTGATGAATCAGAATTTAGAGCTACTGATATGATACCCAAAGAATGTTCACTGAGTGTTTTATTATGAGTGAGATCAGTGGCTTTATCATAGTTCCAAATTTTAACCGTTTCATCTATCGAACCAGTAACTATGCAATCCGTCGCTAAATCTTGATGTTCGTCATCTGATTCATCACCTTTATCATCATCATATCGTTCAGTAGGCTTCGTAGTATGTATTTCACCCCAATCGCATGCCCAAATGCTATCATCATGAGCATTACTGTATTTGTAGGCCAACGAATACATTGGTATTAATATCTTTCTTTGTAATTATTTAAAAAAAAATAATAGACATGGAATAAGATTGTAGATATAATAATTTAAAAATTTAGAACTTATTAAATACAATAACTTTTTGTCGATGAAAGAATAGTCTGTAAGATTGTACTTGTTAGTTGTTTATATAGAGTGAAAATAATTTTGAAAATTGAAGAAACAAATTACGATTTACGTTTTGTAAACAAACGTCAAACTTTTTGATTAAGACATCTGACGTGATAACCGAAAATATGAACATAACCTAAAAAACAACAATACAGCTTACCTAGGTCATTGATTAAATATTGTATTTAATCAATGCCTAGGTTGTTACTTGTTATCAAAATGTATTGATAGTGCACTGTTGGTTATTAACGATGTAATATTGATATGGCTTGTCTAATTTATCATTTAGATATTAGTTACATCATTATACAAACTAAACTATATAACTATAGTTTTACTGTATATAGTGTACATAACCTTTAAAATATCTGTAGTGTCAACAGCGAATTTATCAAAAACCCGCCAAGAGGCGGGTAAATGTATTTTAATATCAAAAACATTGCCTTTAGTTAGGCTTTTATCTTTATTGCAAATATTGTAGTTGGATATTTATCGATTCTCTAATTAAAATAGTATACTCGTAAAATTAAATAATGTATAATTAATAATGAATTACATTTTTATGTAATATATACTTAACAAGTTGTCCGGACCCGGCGCGGCGTTGCTCGAGAATTAGTCTGCCAGGGCTGAGACCTGAGTAAAATAATTCCCAGACTTTTTTATATATATAGATTTATAAGTATATGTTATAAATTAATAGTATCTGTTATAAAATAATAATTATTTTATTAAAATTTTCCACAAATTATTTATAATACTTTAATAAAACATTATTTTTACTTGTTACCTAAATTAGTTGACGATTTTAGAATTTGGCTATCAAGTATAAATTAGTTTTACCACATCTTACATATGTATTCTATAGTTAAAGAATACAGGTAGGAGCTTATGAGATTTGTCTTCAATCTGTCTTTTAGAAGATGTATTATTAACAAAATTTGGTATCTAAAAGATATATTAAAGCAAGGAAAACGAAATATAAAAATTAAAAAAATACTACTTTAGAGTTAGTATTTACCATAAAAATTCAGTTCAATTAAGCTTATTGAGAAAAAAATATGATTCTGAAAAGAAAACTACTGATAAATTACTTAAAGGGTACAAAAAACAATTAAAAATGGCAGAACAAAATCTCTTAAAAGCACAAAAAACTCTTGTAAAAATAATAATGAAAAATGTTATAAATGTTATAAATGTTAAATGTATAGGCAACATGTGAATAAATCTAATTTTATTATGTATATTTTATAAGGGGTTTGCGTGGCAATAAAAATTATATTCATGTCAAATAAAATAACTGCAGATGTATTATTTTGCCAATTATGTTCCGTCTTTTTTGTATTTTCTAACACTAGGTTTGGTAAAATCTTTTTTTCCATACTTCATAAAATACTGTGCTGGATCACACTATGCAATTTGTCGGTTCCCGATTAACCGCAGCACCCAAAATAAACATTATTGAGTATTGAGATTCTTTTTTTGGGGTATAATGTGCAAGCACTTCTAAATTCCCTCTTAAGTCTATAGTTATTTATAAATTAGTTTTAGAATCTGGTACATGAGTGGCGTAACTACACCTTCTAATTCTCTTGGCAAAATAATCCAGCGGGACATGAGAGACCCGCCCAAAACAATTATCTTTTGATCTGCACCTGTTAATAGGTTATAAATAATTAAAAACATGTTTAGTGTACAACTTGTTGTATGGTAGCTTTTTATTTTTTGTTTTTGGCTTAAATAACATAAACAAAGCAATAATAAAATTTAAAATATTTAAAGTTATGTCCGGTCGATTTGATCTATATATTACACTAAGCAGTTGTCTTATAACTTACAGAGTTGTAAAAGAATCCGTTCTTATGGTAGGTAACGACCGACATTTGTCTAATTTCCTTCAAATGGTATTTATACATCTGAACCATAATGTGGTCTCTAATGGTGGTCCAACTCCACTATACTAACCTCTTTTATGACATACTCGACTAGCGTGAGTTTAAAAACTGCGTTCCGTAGCATGTCTGTGGACATACTCTTCCAAGTACAGATCGATTTGCCATGGAATTATAATAAATGAGTACAGCCATTATTTTCGTTTAGTACGCAGTGCACGGTATGTCTTCCAACATATCTGACCAAGTACTACCCGCTTTTTTAAAAATTATTTTTAGGTTAGGATAACAAAGAATTATATTTTATAAAATACAGGTGTATGTGTTAAATTTTGCATAGTCGCATAATTGTATTAATTAGAGTTGAAATGAATAATCTGGGTGGTTATTTGTTTTTGGATTTATGTTTTTTTTTTATATTTCCTTCGGTAGAATAAAGACAGCACTAAGTATTGAGTTTGTTTTTTTTTAATGAAAATAATAATTTTTACATTTTCTGTTTAGAATTTACCAACTTGGTACTTGGTTGTATGGCTAGTTGGCGGCCAGGGCGATAGCATGTCGCGAAACTGCGAGTGTGTACACAGCGAGCTTACGAGCAGAGAAAAATGGCGTACAGCGCACGGCAACTACAGCCGGCGACCACTGGTCAAGATGGCCGAACTATCAGACGAACAACGATGGACAACACTGGAGGCTGCCAAACGGCCAGAGCCCGCGCGCGCCACGTTCAAATTTAAATTCTGTATCAAACATTACCACTAAACACGAATGAAATTAATCACAACGATGAAGATGAAAGATAAAGCTGTCAACTTTATCTAAAATATAAATAAATTATATATTACGATTTTCAATTGATGTAATACATAAACGTTTATAGTTTAAATAGTATTGTGTTGTTTTTATTATTATTCCTTATGTCATACTGAAATTTGTTATTTTATTGAATTTCATAATTAAAAAATACAATATTAAGAAGAAATCTTTATCGCAAAATATGATACACTTTTAAAAAGTAGCAGATTTCGGTAGCAATGACAGACTGAGCTGTAAAAAAAACCAGGGAAAGGTGTGTTTGTGCTTTTTTAGTTTTTGTAAACTTAATTTTAACTTACTGAAATTTCAGAGAAAAAAAAATCATTTTGACTAGTTCTGTTGACGCGTTGCCGGAAACGCTTTTGTTAAACTTTAAGCTTATTAAAAACAATTGGGTTACATAAATAAACTTTTAAACATAGAAAAATAGTATTCTATTTTACAATCAAATAAACTTTTTTTCCTAACACTTATTTAGCTTCTTTTATGAACTAAGTAACTTACTTGATAGGTCAGTGAAAAACTGCTTCGTGATTGGACGACTTTCGAACTCGCGCAATCTTATTAGGCGAAATGCAATACTTATGTTTCATCCGACGTGTAATGTTAAAACCAAGTTATTATGAATGGACCAGGAAACAATTTCACCGTGCTAACGACTGTAGAATATATTTTGTTTGCCATGTGACATAGATATTTTATAAAAACCGTTTTGTTTTCGGCCATGTATTTATTACCTACCATTATCAATAGTAAAGATTTTCGCCAAGATATTATTGTATATTTATTAATATAATTATTAAAAAAAGGCCAGTTCAGCGGGGTCGAAGCATATTGGGGACGGTAAGGTCACCGGTCTACAGCAATTATTAAAACTGATAAAATCACTTTAAAATAAACGCTTCGATGCGAACCTGTGATTAGTTTGTTCAAAACGGTACAGTCCAAACCAAGCACATATCTATAAACCAGCACAGTAAGGAAATGTTAAAGTTGAGGTGCAGTGTCTAGAGATTAGCATCAAAGGTTTTTTTTTTTAACTGATGTTATCACTTCTGTCAGTTATAACTTATAATAATATCTGTAAACCTGTGACCTCCCCATTGGTTTTTTTTTTGCAAAAATAAAGTGACATAAATCACACGTTATGAATATCTTGTTAAATGCTGTTGGAATGTCGATGATTTTAGTTACAATTTTTGTACTTAATAAACATTTTTATTTCTATTACAATAAACCTTTGTGATCTAAACATAATGTACCGTGAGAGCAAAATACTTTTTAGAGTTTTGAATAACCGAGATTATAAAAGTAAACTGTATAGACAATATATTTTTAACTGTTAAGTATGGTCATTAAACGGGTAAAACGACCACAGTAATAAAAAAATGAAATAATTATGTGTAAAAATAGGATCATTTTTCGTTTTATTTTACTTTTCTATGAAATTTTACCTCGTTTTTTATTTTTCTGAGTATTTTTATGAAGAACCTAATTTGAAACTTACACGTTTTTTGTAAAACTATCTTAGCTTTCTAAAAAAATATTAGAAAAAATTCTCAAATTTTGGGCACCATGAAAAACCAACTTTTGGACTATAAACTCAATTTTAATGACTTTTTGTTTCCAAAAAAATCATAATTTTTTTTTCAGAAAGCTGGGATAGTTTTACATAAAAAAACTAATTTTTATTAATTTTTTTTTTTGATGGCCAAAGACACTAAAAAAATATGTGTCAAGAAAATAACTCAAAACACTTTTGACGAAAAAATTGAAATCGTTATCTTAACTCAGCTATTAAATGTTTTTCTTTATGCATTAAATATATTGGTACATAAATATATGATGTTTATCCAAGTCTCTTATTCCAACACTCTAATTATAACATAAAGGGGCAAAATAGGTTAATTTTAGAAGACATTAGCGTTAATTATGCCCTCCATTTAGTTAGTTTTAGAGTTCGCCGTTTAGTATAGGTAATTTTTTGTAGGATGTCAGATTAAAGTAAACTAGTATAAAAAGTACTATAGAGAATATTATCATTTAGCGTTCTGCATTAAGAAGAACGACACTTTTCTTTGTTAAACAAAAAGTAATGAGGTTCTTTTTATTGATAGTTGACAATGGTTCTCAGTTGTTTGATAAATATTAAAAACAATTTTTTATACTTTTAGAAGAGCTGAAATTTTGTTAGCTACTAAAATGTACAATACTACAATTTCATGTACCTTAGTTTCCAATTTGAATAAAAAATGTTTTAACTGTTAAACCCCAATTAGGTATTCTCCTATTAGTTACTCCTATTAATTAGAGCGTTTAATACAGAATATTTTTTCGCAAAATCGTAATTTTAAACTTAAAATAAAATGGATGTTTATCAAGTATTAGTAGTTAGTACTGTAATTAGTATTCTTTATTGGTATTTTGTAATACACTTTTTTATCAGATTTACATAATGCCGACGAATACGTTTCTATTTTTTTTTCGCCAAACACCGCTATGTGTAAAAAACTAACAAATCATAATACAACAGTTATTATCGTACTTAACTCTTATAGCAATTTGCTACTATACATATAATGTTTTTTTAATAATAAATATACCTTAACATAACTCTATCAAAGCCTAGTGTTTTTTATTACTAGTAAATAATAAATCTACACTACTACAACTACAATAATAATAATATGAGCAGATACTTACCTTCTTAATAAATATTCTGCACTTCGAATCGAATGATGCCATTTATCTTATAATATCTATAAACTTATTTGATAAATTAATATTAAATGAATTTTATTGTTTTCCAAACGCGCGTGGTTAAGCTGTTAATATTATTAAGCTTATGTTTATAATTAATAATTAACAAAAATATTTTATTTTTTCAAAGTTTAGTAAATTATAAAAATACACATAACACAAGCAGACGTATTTTGGTTAAAAATTGAGATAAGGTTAGGTATACTACTGTCGACAAAGTAAAAGTTAAAAATACAATTGCAAAAAACTAATTTTAGTTGGTGGAAAGTGAGTGGGTCGGCCCCCGAGGACTTTAGCTTAGTTTCTGTTGATAATTGATTATGCGTCTAACTTTACGTAGTTTCAATTCCATGTAGAAAACTTTTAACACTCAAGTAGGTTATATCTTATCTTAGAAAACACAATAGAGGTTAGGATTATAGAGGTTGATTTAACTCCTAAAAGCATACAACTTAACTAGACTTAAATATATGCATAATAATTAATAACTTACTAATAGACCGAAAGTTTCTAATAAATTTATAAACATCTTATATATTTTATTTTTTTATATTCTTTAACATTACAAATAATTTAGTTGAAAACATATAAATATAAGAGAGAACTCAATAGGATAAAAGCTTAGTGGAGATGATTAAAGTTAACATTAAATTATTAGTATAACATTGAAATTTAAATGTGATAAAAGCTTTTTCAATTTCGAATAAAAATGTTTCTGCACAAATCTGAAATTAATTTGATAAACATAATAAAGGTTATGTAACGTACATCTTTTAGTTTATATTATTTTACAATATTCCAAATACTAAATACAATGTGTTTAAATGCCAATAATATGGCAAGTAGTAAAATAATAATTCAAGTTTACATTTTATCCGATTTTATTTTTAAATTCCTCATCATATTATCTTCTGTAGTTCACGTATCGACTTCAAGCTGTTATTATTTTCTAATATGTTGAATAGTTTAAAACATTTCTTTTTACAAAAACTATTTTACAATGAAAACAAAAAATAAGAAAAAGTCGTTGATACGTCAACCACAAAAGAGATACCAAATTAACTTCAGATTTGTACCGAAACATTTCGACTTTCAACCGTTTTCATAAATATTTATCGATTTTAAGTTTAACAAAGTGCTTTATTTTTGTTTGTTTTTCTGAATTTGAAGGGGTAGTTGTAGACTTTTAAAAATTTAATCCATCAAAGCATTATTTTGCAAACACTAATTATACAAACGAATTTTTATCGATAAAGAAGCTGCTTAAACATAATATATAAATATCAATTAATCAACGTAAAACTACACCTTGTTAGTTTTAATAAAGCTAAATTAAATTACAGTATACACTTTTCTACAAATGAAAGACCATTGTTTTTAAATTTTAACAATGTAACTAATTCGCATAATTAATACTTTATTCGTATACATTTTCTGTTTTCAACAATGTATACTTTGTATACAACTTCTTTTGAATTTATATAATTATATATTTATATTCATAATTCAACTATTAAAAAAGCATAATTTATTACTATTAAAATATTTATTAAGATGTACAACACAAAATGACATTCAAGAAATACAAGTCATTTTTTACCCTTTTCATAAACAAATGTGGTACTCGCCTTGTATAATATCTTAAATACTAACTTCCCCATAAATAAATTACAGAAAAAATTGTAAGAAAATGTGAGTGGTATAACCTCTTAAATAGCATATTTTATTACTTCTATTCTATGACTTAAATAAAACTTTTATTTGATCATAAAACATAACGAAAATATTTTGGAATAATAACTTCTTTTTAATGATATTAACCATGTTTCCATTTTCTTTTTATAAAACAAATTCGGTAAAGAAATGTTCCAACAGACGATTCAAGTGTCCTTTTTCCAATTATAATTCATAGTGGTTTTATATTGGTTTTAAAAAATACAGCTAAAATACTTTTACTAAATAATATTATTTTGTGAATTTTTTTTTTTTTTTTTTTGAAGTGCAGCTGAAATGGTATTATTAAAATGGAACTTTTTCCACTAGACTTGTTATAAGTATTTTAACGCGGCGACTGAAAAAAGACGTCAATGCGACGAGGGGAAATAAGCACAGCTAGCGCACACATACAAAATTCGTTTTTATCGAGTTTGTCGTCGGCGCCGAAGTGTGACGTCAGGCCATATTATTGTGCTTCTATGTGGGTGGATGGGCGGGTCGTAGATCGCCACCTGTTTAAGGGAACTGCCGTATAGTTGCAAGCTGAACGTTCTGCCGAGAATTCGCCACTTGTTGGATTTGTTCGTGGATACCGCTGCCACAACGCATAAGTAAGTTGTACTTTTTTATTATTATTAAAATTAGAATATTTAATTCTACCGTTTTTTTTATGCTTTACCGTAATATTATAATACAACATCCAATAACGCTTTGTATGTACTTCATACATTATCTTCTTGTTTATTTAATTGAAAAAAGTTACTTATTTAAAAAAATATAGGTACTATATTTTATTCTTTTGAATATTAAAATAATCAAACATTTAAAATTGAATTGACTTTGAAACCAAATGACTATTTACTTTAAAGGCAATTGTAAATTGTATGTTTATATAAGCTAATTTCGATAATATTGTTCAATAAATGACAATGTTCACTACGTTACATAAAAGCAAATGTATATATATTTTTTTACTGAATGCATTTTTAAAACACGTTTTTCATAGATTGAAAAAGTGACTTTTTGGTTTCTCTCCTGCTTTTTTCATATATGTATAAATTTAAAAAAAAATCCCATTTTAATCATTGATTATTTCACAAGTTAGAACAATATTTTATTATTGTCGATAGTAAACAAATTTCTATTGAATCATTAATTTTTCGTAATGGTATATTTCGAATAGATAAATGATTTTATCACTTTCAAATAGTCGCTTCGATGTGGAACATTAATGATACTAATTATTAAATATAAATCACTTAATTGACAATACATGTGTTTATAATTGTGTAATTTGATTTTTTGGGGTTTCCTGATAAAAAAAACATGAGTACATGTACTTAAATTCTTTTGTTAAAATTTAGAATCGAGAATATTTAGAATTTACCTAATGTATTGGGAAATGTAATATTCATGTAATAATTATTTAACAATATAAAAACAAAAACATAATAAACCATTAAAAAATATTATTAACATTTTCGGAAGCAAGTTAAGTTTTAATTTTAAAAAAACACCAACAATGTATTATGTATGAACAATATAGAAGTTACCTTACAGAGAAATTAATTTACTATACTTTGATGAACATTTTAATAATATATATACATATATTATTTTACGCAATTGTTATGATTGCGGATGTGAGTGCAAACTTTCAGAATTCATTAATAATATTTAGGAATTCCTGGTGTCTCCCTTCGTCTCACGAGATTATGAATAAATATATTTTACGTGAGAAGAATTGCATAGCTTAATTTTTTTACCGGATAATTTTAATCTGGATAACTGTGCTGTCGGAGCACAAGGATTAATTATATTTTAGTGTGCCTTTTTTTTATATAATTACTGCTAAATCAAAACCCCTGTAGTGTCCCGCAGGAATCCTCAATTAATTTTTTTTAAACAAGTTGTTCGGAAACTAATTAAATACATCTGTACCACTATGGGAGAGAAGGTTTACATTATTTCATGTAAATTAATTTAAGCAAAACTTACGTTATTTTAAAATGTTTTTGTTTTTAATATTTCAAAAGATTTTCAAACGGTAACGTATATATGTGATAAATTTTTTACAAGGATAATATGTTGCTGAAAATGTTTACTGTTCTATGACTAATTTTGAATAATTACATACTTGTAAAGTTTTTTAAGTTTAAAATTTAGAACGGTATATGGAGCTCGGTTAAGTATTTCGTTCTGTACTTTAAACTTAAGTAACATAAAAAAAATATTTAAAACCAATTATCGACCAATAAACATTTCAGCAAATTATTCTTCTTTCAAAAAGTAAATTAAATATATATATTTCCGTTTAAGTTTTAAAAGTTGATAGCGCTCTGAAAAATAGTAAATACTCGGTAATTCTATTTGATTGTAAAATAACATTTAAAAAAATGTTTTTAATAAGAAAACCGACAAAGCTGCAACCATTTTAGGAGAATATGAATCTTACGTATCATCATGATATATGCTTTTGAAATTCTTCAGTAATTTTTTTTTTATGTAGACTACATCTACTAATTTGTGTGTTACGGCATAAATAGTATTTGGGTATAAAACATGTTATGGTGAGCTTACTACTTCACAGCTTTACTTTAAATCAGAATTGCATATAAACGACGAAATACATTAAGAAATTCGGCATACCGATACATAAAAAGTCATATTATACAATGACTACACAATCATAACAACACAAAAAATACATTTTTAGTTTCTTTCTAGTTGGGAGTTTCTAGTTTTTTTGACATTTTCATGTCTTAGCTCTGGCACATAACCGAAAAAAGCGTACCGAAAAAAGCGTTACCAAAAAAGAAATGGGGTTGAAGATGAGGTGGGTATGGGAAAGGGGTAGAATTAGCTATGGCAAAAAACCGAAAAAAAGCGTAACGAAAAAAGCGTTACCAAAGAAGCGTTACCACACGGAGATGGGTTGGAGGTGAAAATAGGGGTAGGAGATACGGGGGGGGGGGTGGGAATGGGGTTGGGGTTGGGGACAGGAGATAGGGGTGGGAGATAAGGTAGAGAGATAGGGGTGAGAGATTAGGGAGTAGGGATAGGGTGGGAGATAGGGGTGAGTGATAGGGATGGGAGATAGTGGGTAGGGGAGAGGGGTAAGATATAGTAGATAAGAGATATGTTGTACGTTCAACGTTCAAATTAGAACTAAATAATAAATTCAAAACAGTTTAATTCTCTATGTTAAGTTACTTTTGGCCAGATAATAAACACTACAATTTTAGCCAGAAACTTGTTTGTACATAATTTTTTAATTTCCTTGGCCTTATGCTGTAACTGGAAGCTCCATATAATTTTTATTTTTTAAATTATAATTCCACACCTAATCTAAATTTATTTGGTACTTTAACGAGACATGAAAATGCTCTTTCGTGGTTGCAGACTCGGCTGAAAAACTTTTATTCTTGTTTCTTGTACTTACATTGAGAGAAGTAATATTGGCAAATTGTAAGTAGAGTTTTGGCAATAACTTAAGATATAGATGTATATAATTATAGTTGTTATACTATAAGCGACAAGTAATACCGTTTGTGCATACTACTTCTTAATTATTTTATATCTTTTTTTTTAACAGTGCAAACAACTTTATTTTACGTTTTAACCGTATTGCAAAACTAATAACGTTTTATTTTAATTTTTATCAATTGAGGTTTAAATTCATTTTAATTTATCGATTAGAGCTAGATGTCTTCATGTTATTGACAAAAATATAAGTAGGTATACCAGCATGGTTTCTTTTTTCCCTAGCCAATTGAGCCCTTAACCACGAAGTGATACATTGACTAGTGTGTGTAATCTAAACCAGCTCAAGTATGACACGTTCTTATTTCATTTTTTAAGTAAAGATTTTGTGGTTTACTGGTGTATAGGTTTTACGTATTTGGTATGCAGGTGTTAAAGGATCGTATTAAAAAATATGCCTTAACGATCCTTAGTTCAATGTTTTCAACAATAATAACAATTTTAGAACTAGAGGCCAAAATCAATTTATGTTATAGTCAACGGCTTTCATGAAAAATATGATTTATACGTTTTCTGAAGTTAAAAATAAAAGCCTAAAAAAAATGTGCTCAAATAAAATGTTTTTAATTCTGGAACTTCGTGGTCTACTTGTATAATATTTTTAAAGCCAACAAGTAAATAAATTGTTTTTCAAAGTTGTTGAAACTCGCGTGATTATCGTGCGTTTTCTTTTATTTTGTACTTTTTCTTTGTCTTACCTAGTTGGGGTCAGACAGGATTTACAATTTGGGATTAAAGCTGGCTGCCAGCCTAACACTAACCAAAGAAGTTTAGAAGCCCGGAAGAAGGTTGTGGATTTTTTTTAGACATTTTCGCTTGCAAGTGATTCGAGAAACAACTTTTAGTGTTGAAGCAAAAAAAAGTTCTTAATAATAGGATGTCTAACGAATTTCATCTTCCCAGCACTCTTTAACATTTATTTTGAGATCTTAAAAAACTGTTATAAATACCGTATTAAAAATATGGTGAAGTATAGCATAGGATTCGTCAATAGTATACAATAGCTATCAACTTGATCGTGTTCATTGTGAATTCTTAAAGTTTGTTAAGTACGCCAGTAGAGTAGATTGCCTTTTCCACGACACCAATCTTAACAAAACACTAAACTTATTCTACCCACCTGTGACCTGACCATAGAAACTATGTTATTATCGTAATTGTCTATAATTACTCAATGTTATATCACCCAGCGCCCTTATCGGAGAGTATAAACTTTAAAGCTCTTTTCCACCCCATTAGAAATAAGTTACTTTTTCATACCGTTACTCGCACTACTACTTATGAACATAACGAATCTTTAAATCAACGTAGACAATAGACATCTCGTAAGGTTGATCCTTTAAGTTGCGTGAGCCTAAAATTATTAATAATCGTTACTCTATATTTTGTAAAAAATGATTTATAATTATTTATTACTGTATTTTTAGTATTTTGTATGCTTTTTTTGGTTTGCTAGACACAGATGTGTATATACTAGTTTTTTAAATAACAGATAATACGTAGGTAATATAATTGATGGACAATTGCGATTAATAAACGAACATAATTAGTACTACCACTGTAAATCGAATGTAATACTTATTGGGTTTTGATCAAATTAGAATAGTTTATATTATTGAAGTATAAGTAATAGTTACAAAATGTAGAAGTCATACTCAAAATGATTGTTTTGTAACGGTCACATCATCAAAATGATTTTAGGTCTAATAGTTTATTCCTGTATACACTATACAGTTTATTGTTACGTATCCAGATAAGATATATTTTAATCATGGATTGCTTTTTTTCTGGTTTGTGATTTTTTAATGTCAGTTGAATTCAACTTAATTTATAAATGTAGCAACTAGACGGTGAAATACTTTATGAAAGTTTTATGGTATATTTTGTAAATGGATTATTGGTTGTAGTGAAAAAGTTTGTTTAATTATTGGAAAACAAAGTTTTTGTAATAATTGCAAAAGGAATAACATGTTTTCATTAGAAGGATACAAATCAACAGAACAGTGCTACAACAATATTTGTGATATTTACAAATTAAATATTTGTTCTCTCCCAAATAAAATAACGC